TCTTTACCGATCTCATAAGTATTATATTTTAAAATGACCATTTCCAGTGGGGTGGCGGTAGGGGTGGCCAGGGGTCTGTTGGGGGTGGCAAGTGCCACCCCGGCCACCCCTCTGGCTCCGCCACTGGTGGGATCCTCTCCTGGATGTTATAGAGGGGATTTAAAATGGATCATGTAGATCCCTGGAATCCAGTGAGCTCACATTGTATATCTGTCCACACAGAGACAATCAGAAGGTAAAGGTCCATGAAGTAATATCTGGATGTGAGCAGTGAACCAGGTGATCTAAGTAGTTGTAAAGATTTAATGTTCCTTGATCCCATTAAGAACTAGCAGAACCTCTGATGGTCCACATCAGCTCAGTTTGGTTGAGTCCCAGCAGATCTCACCAACCACATCATGAAGCTTTCCTTCCCTGCTGAACTGCTCTCACAATGCACACAGGAACCAAGTCCTGATGGACCAGAATGGCTTTACCAGGTATTTCCCAGTGGAAATGTGATCCACTGTTAGTCTGACATGGAGCCAGGAAGCAACAGAACATCATCATCAACATCCAGAGATATAGATATGAAGGTGTTTTCATGAGAACAGAGCAGCTGATTTCTGTAGATAATGGATCAAACCTCTGCAAATATAACTGGAAACATCTGAGTTCTTACTGGTTCAGTTTCCAGAGTTACAGCAATTAGAAACAGCTCACCTCTCTGATGATGGAGATCCAGGAGATTTAAAGTCAATCATGTCTTCCTTTGACCAGTCACTCTTAAAGGAGACAAAGCTGGGTTCTGGTTCTGGATCGGGTTTGAATCTCTTATGGATCCTGAAAAAAAAACCTCTCATTAGAAACTTTTTTATTTGCTTTTGAGATAATTTTTATGTGACTGTAAACCAAAACCAGAACCAGGCAGATCATCAACCTGACGTTCTAAATGATTCCTATCAGAACCGGTCCAATCCTCCAACATGTTCCTGATCATTGATCCTCCTGAATAATGTCCAGCCTTCTTTAAAGAGCAGAAAGATTTGTTTCTGAGACCAACATGTTGGTTTAAATGACTGAGAGAACAGTTTGGTGATCTTAGTGTTGAGCTCTGACATGGAGCAGAACCAGGAATCATTTCCACTCTGACCATCCAAGGAGGATCTGATGGAGCTTCAATCAGAACCAGATGGTCCGTTTAAGACACTGAAGCCCACTGCTCAATCAGATCCACTAAATATTTAGTTTCACTGTAGAAATGGTTGATAATCTGCCATGTTGGATGATGTTTGAACTTCAGAGGTGGAATCATAAAATAATTCATAGAAAATGTTTATTTCAGAATGAATCTGTCTTTTGTCAGATTTTAGAGAAAGATGCAAATATCAACCTAGAAATAAAATTCACTTCTGTCTATTTGTTCTTGTGTTAATATTAATATCAGACAAAATAAATTAATGTTTCATTTGTAAAAATTCGGCTTAAACAAAACAGAATAAAACACAGTTAAATGTTTCTGGTCCGAATGTCATGTCAACATAATAGTTTATAAGAGTGAGTCCTGACTGAGGATTTATAAGATTCTTTCTATATGGAGTCAATAACTGTCCAATGAATGATGGTTAAATTGATGTCAGGTAAACATCAGATCAGTTTTAGAGATTCTGTTAACTAGTGAAGCTCTGGGTAGAGACTGTGGATCCAAACGGACCTGTTTGATTTATACAAAGGATCCAGTTGAACTTTATTGTGTTCATAGTAACATGTTCATTATTGGAACATGTTTTCATGGAGACATCATACGTGTTACATCTTTGACGTATGAAAAGAAAAATAACCTGAAATTCAGTCCAATGTTTTCATGACAACAGAACCCAACAGAACTTATCATCACAATAACAGATATAAACAGAAGTTACAGCAGTTAGAAACAGCTCACCTCTCTGATGGTGGAGATCCAGGAGATTTAAATTCAATGGGTTGATCCTTTGACCTGTCACTCTTAAAGGAGACACAGCTGGGTTCTGGTTCAGGTTCTGGTTTGCGTTTCTGTTGGATCCTGACAGAAACATGATAATTAAAACTTAATCATCAAAGAGGAGCAGCAGCAGCTTCATCACCACGTCTGTTCTGGCCTGATATAGTGAACGCTGTGTGAAAAGGGCTGTGGACAGTTAGAGATGGTGACCTCACCTCTGACCTTTGCTCTGGCTCTCATCTTCCCCACACAGAGTGGTTTTAGAGGGAGGGACTCCCTCCTCTCTGTCCTCACACTGATCCATGCTGCTGAATCCACATCAGCTCACACACACTTTCTAGCTTCACCTGCAGAGGAAACACACATCATTCATCTGCACATCAACTCTGATCATCCTTTACATCATTAGTGCTGGAAAAAGATCAGCTGCTCCTCCTCTGATTGGTCTTCTTCTGCTTCATATCAGTGTCAGGTGAATGCAGTCAGACAGCAGAGAGGCAGAGGAAGCTGCCATCAGCTGCTGCACTTCTACTATCAGTCCACTAGATGGAGACATGGAGCAACATTTACATTCACTGATTCAACCTGAACAACAGGAAATATTTTAGATAATTATTAAACCATACAAGTGGATTAAATGCAATTAAGTTGAAGTATTAAGTAATTTGACTGAATTAAAACATCTTACTATAGCAGCATTTGTCCTACTTCCTTTTGAATGAACGTAGAACAAACTTGTTGTTTTTGTCTTTAATGGTGGAGACCAGAGTTTGATGTAATGGGAAAAAGTCATGAATCAATTTGTTCAGACCAGAACAAAAACATCAAATGTTCATCGTATTTGATTCTAGTTCATTAATAATCCTGTAGATTAACCTTAAAACAACAGAGATTAAAGTTTGATCTGAAATTAAAGGTGAACATTTTCTCCAAACATCAGAGAGAAAAATAACAAAACTGGCTGTAAAGTTTCTGAAGACAAAGTTCATGTAGAAAACAAAGCAAACTTACAGTTTGTTCAGACGATCCAAAGAGTTGAACAAGAATATGTGATCAACAAACTGAGACCCAACAGAACCAGACTGGTGCCAAACCTTAACAGGTCAAACTGGTTTGACTGGTTTACTGAGAACTGTCAGATGAAAGTTTATTCTGTTGACGTCTGAAGACATAAAATCTACTCATAACTCCCAGTTTGAACACAAATGTTCTGCTGCTGTTATTCTGCTGATTCAGGTTCTGTTCAGCTCCAATGGAACCAGAATCTGTTTTAACTTGGAACCAACTGGACTCTTCATTGGTGGGGAAACTACAACCTGAATGACGTCTGATTAATGATTATTGATGAAGGGTTTTTAAATGATCCAAATATGACTGATAAAAAGTTATCAGAACCAGAACCTGTTGAGTTGGCAGCTTGTTGGAGTTTGGGAGGAGAACCTGAACATTCAACCTCCAGGTTTTACAGGAGGTTCTGGATTCTGACTCAGGAACCTGAACAATGAAACCAGTGACTCCTTGAAAATGGGATGTTTGGATCTGAATAAGCAGTGAACATGTTCTCTAAACATCAGAGAGCAAAAACTAGCAGGAAAGTTCCTAAACTCAAAGTTCAAGAAGGATAAAAAAAATAAAACTTACTGTTTGTTTAATCGATCCAAATGGTTGACGAAGAAAATCTGAGCAACAATCAGACTGGAAACACCTTAAACATGAATTCAAACTGAAAGTAACAGATGTTGTATAACTTCTTACCTGATTTGTAGTTTCTTCTTTCAGAGCCAAGCCCCGCCCCTTTCTGTTTGCTGCAGCGAGACGAGAGGTCTCACTCTGACCAATATCTCTTGTATCTAATCAGATGCTCTGTGCTAGAATTCTAGTATTTTAATATATTTATTGTTTTGTCTTAAAACGTTACATTTTCATAACATTTTATATTTTGTTTGTGTCAAATGAAAACCTGCTAATTGTTTTTTTTTTGTTTTTTTTTATTTTTTCAATCGATTGTTCAATTACTTCTGTTTTACTTTTTGTTGCTGAGCCAAAACATTTTTACAATGCAAAACAAAGTAAGTGGCAATAAATAAAATTCTATTTAAAACAATTACATCGACACACTTCAATTTTTTTCTGCTGTACTAAAAAAAAAAATCAGAGTTTACCTTGACAGGTAATTGTCAGTTACATCAAGTACAAATAAAAACTGATCTTTGGAGTTTAAAAACAGTATTTTTAAAATCATTAGTACAACAGATGTATTGCAACGTTTTAAAGAAACATTTCTGTCGATCTAGTGAAAGTAAAGCCTTTTATCTCATAATTATGGCTCAATCGGCTAAATCACTATTATGACTCATAATAGCAAAGTTTTAGTGGAGATGTGGAACAGGGATACAAGTTTTGTTTTTTTCAATCAAATGGGATCCATAACTTTTAAACAGTTGCAGAAAAAACAAGACACTACAAAAAAGCATCAAAACGTCTGTTGTGTAGTGAAATAAAAACCATATTCATGTGGAGGAAGTGAAGGTTGTCTGTTTCTGGTGAACTCTGAAGAACCTTAGATAATATCAGTTAAAACATTTAATTTCCATTAGGGATAAAAACGTTATTTTTATTGAATTTGTGTCAATTAATCTCAGTATAAACTATATAATGTTCTTCCTGCAGGCATGTTGGATCAGACACGTCTCCATTTAATCACAATTTCCAGATATAATCTCAAACTGAAACAAATAAACAAGCAAAGTTTTTCATTCTTCCTGTATTTTTTTCTGCTTGCATTTTTTCTACAAGCAGCATTAAAACAAAGAGACAGAAATGGAAAGAAAAACTTTATTAGAGCATAAATTTGACTTATTTTTTGCTTCCTCAGAGGTTTTCAGGTTTTCAGGTTTTCAGGTCTTCTGGTTTTCAGGTCTTCAGGTTTTAAGGTCTTCAGGTTTTCAGGTCTTCAGGTTTTCAGGTTTTCAGGTTTTCAGGTTTTCAGGTCTTCAGGTTTTCAGGTCTTCAGGTCTTCAGGTTTTCATGTTCAGGTTTTCAGGTCTTCAGGTCTTCAGGTCTTCAGGTTTTCAGTACGGTCCGCACAAAGCCAGCAGGACTTTCTGATAATGTCCTTTGGTGTCGTTCTGTTAAAACAGAAATAAAAAAGCATTATTGATGTGGTTTGAAACTTAAACATAGAAACAGTTTGGGAAACGTATTTTACCACGATGTCCTCATGGAGGGTTCTGTCAAACATTGCCCGGTACTCCTCTATGACCTTCTGCAGGTCGACCTCGGAGCGGCTCACCAGGATCCGGATCAGAGTGTGATCCCTCGTACCGTGGCCCTGGTAAGGCACAAAATGGACCACATGAAGTTGAGTTGGACATTTTGATTCCTTTTTTCTATCTCCACTGCTATAAATATGGCATCAAAAAAACTATTTTTCGACATCTGGAATTTAATTACAGACAGACAAAACTGATTTTATGTCAAGACGGTTTTCCATATCACTCCAAACTAAGGAGTTTATTAAAACATGGTAAAATATGAACACTGTAGCCGTAATAATCCAGAGTAATCCCTATTTTAACCATGTTATTAGTGGGATTAGGAGCAGCAGACGCGTTCACTCACCTTCATGGCCGATTGAGTTTCTCAGCAAAGAAAGCCGGTGTGTTCCAGGCACATTTCACTGGACATGAAAGAGGAAACAGAAAATAAAAACTCCGTCACAGACAAAAATAACAGAGTCCAGATGTTTCTGCGTCTCCCAGCTGTGGAGCTTCAGGGTTCAGCTCAACCAGAAACTTTCAAGATGAACAAAAAGGTGAGAAACATTTAAACCAGCAGGATTCTGATGGACGCAGCATACTAAAAAATAAACAATTTTCTGTTCAGTTTGGGATCCGAGTCTAAGAGTAAAACAACATATTAGGGTCTTTGCAGATAAAAAAAGAAAAAATAGCACATTTATGCCAAAAAAATCTTTTATAAACATTTTTGAGCTCCAAAATTGTATAGAAAAAAACTCTAAATTTTAAGATTAATTCCAAAACTTTTCTACTAAAAAATGCAGAAATTTTAGTTTTCAAACTTTTTAAATTAATTTCAGAACATTTTGAGCAATGCTCAGTTTACACTCTAGTCTGAAAACTTGAAAAAATAAAAAAGTCAAACACTCAAAAATGTAAAAAATTTTCTGATTGAAAAGTAAAAAATTAGATTTTTGCTTGTAAATGTGGAAATTATTGGATTATAAATGCTGCCACATCTAGAACCACCACTAGAGGGAGCAATTCATCATATTTATTTCATATTCAACAAGTGAGACATAAAATTCTAATATTCTGAATATTTAAAATGTTAAATTTTCTTTAGAAATGAATATATTTTGCATATTTCAGAGCATTAATAAACTAATCATGTTATTAGTTGGGAGATGATTAGTTTTGGTGACAGGCCTTCCCACCGATGTGATGAGGCAATCCTCGATGTCTCCCTTCAGCTCCAACTGCAGGGCTTTAGGCAGCGTCAGGTCGCTGATGGCAGCATAATGCTGGAACGCTGGCAGGAAACAAAAACACAACTTTCATTTCAACTAATGACCTGAATATATGTTACTGCTTTTAAATACATTCCTGCTGTAAAGCAGAAGATATTGTATCCATGAGGAAAAACAGGAGAATACATGTTGGAAGTTGACTTATATTTGTGTTTTTTTCTTCAAAACCTGAGAGTAAATGTTGAATTGGATTACACTTACCATATGGAAGAAGATTATGGCCACTAAAATATTCTGTTCAATCTAATCTAATCTCAAAATGTTGGCTTTTTCTCTGAAATCTGACTTTTTTTCTAAATATTAGAATCCTACCACTAATCTCAAAATTCTAATTAATCTAAAATCTTTTGGTTTTTCCCCAAATGTCAAAAATTCCACCTTTAGACTCACAATCCTAATTTCAATCTCAAAATTTCTGTTTTTCCTCATGTGTTAATTTTTTCTTTGAGTCCAGACTTTTTTTGGGAAAAAAAACAGAATTTGATTTTTTTAAATTTATTTATCAGAATTTAAATTTTAATCTCAGAATTCAAACTTTTCCCAGAATTCAGACTGTCAAAAAAGCTAAAACTCAGACTTTTTGAAAATATTAATTCAAACTTTTTACACTTTTTTCAATGAAAATATCAGAATCCTAAATTTAATCTCAGAAAACTTCCCCCCCTAGTGGCCTGGATGTTTTCCTGTCTGATTAAAACTCAACATCGTCTCAAATTCTTGTGACATAACTTGTTCAGGTCATTGAATATTTCTCAGCCAGTCTTCTGTTGGCGCCCAGGTGTGACCCGGTCACCTGTCAGTGCGACTCCACCTGTTTGTCCAGGTGTAACGTCACTTTGGAGTGAAACTCAACAATTGACACGTTTCTGTGACTCACTTTTAGAAAGCTGCGGGCCGCTGCGCGTGGTCAGGATGTTGATGAAGGTCGACACGTTTGCTTTTCCGATGCCTTCACCAGCTTTCAAACAAAATCTGGACAAGAAAACATAAAAATGAAATGAGGACATTTAGTCGCCTGATAAAAGCAGAAATACTTAAATCTCAAAATCTCAACTTCAACACGAGAACTTATGGTTTTTTCATACATGTACACAAATCAAAATAATAAACATAAAGAAAAATCACTAAATATAGAAAGCTGAATGACTCAGATTTTGTTTCTTGATTTATTTTCTACCTTGGCGTCCTTTCTGGCCTGCTCCATGTCCACCACAGTGTTCTGGTCTCTCTTGGTGTTCAGCATGGCCAGCAGCGCCGCGGTGAAGTCACCGCTGGTCTCATCCTTAATCACCTGCTCCAGCTCCTTTGGTACTCTGACCACAAGATTCAGCTCAAAACCTTCAACTTTTAAACTGAACAAATGGATTCAGGAATAACAAAGAGAAAATAAGTGGACAGTCTGGACCAATGAGAAAGAAACAGGAACAAAATGGCTGCTGGCGGGATCGACCTGCATGAGCTGGAGCTTCATCACTGCAAAAACTTAAGTATTTCTGGCCGAGTTTCTAGTGTAAATATTTAATTACACTTGAAAAAGAACAAAAATATCTTACATTTCACAAATTCAGCAAAATATATGACTTTGGTTTTAGTAAACAATTCCTTAATATTGATTTTAAATAAGTTCCAGTTTAACTGGCAGATTATTTCACTTGCAACCAAACAATTTTTTCCATGCAAGTAAAATTATTTGTTGCTAAAAAGTTAATTGCAAGTTACTTTGTTGTATGTCGAGTGTACTAAGGTATATGCAGTATAAATTAGAGCAAAATTACTTGATCAGATTTTGTGTGTTTGAAGTGTTTTGATCTCATATTATTATGCAGTAAACAAAGAGTTCTGCTGAAATCTATGGACGAATGCAGTCGGTGTTTAAACGGATCAATAAAAGACTCAAACTGTTGAAGTGACTGTGAGAGAAAGAACATGCAGCAGCAAACACATAGATAATCGACATTAGATGAGCTAATTTTGCTCCATCATAAGAACTACAGTAAATATCACAGATATTTTATCTTAATTGAGTTCTGAAGTCGTTCTAATGAGCTTTTATTGTTTATAAGTTATAAAGGAACAAAACGAGAGCTACTTCCTGGTTTCTGGCTTGTTTACTGATGTCACAGCAACCGCCTGCAGGTGTGACGTCACATGAGAACAGGTGTGACATCACATGAGAACAGGTGTGACGTCACATGAGAACAGGTGAGAAGTCACATGAGAACAGGTGAGACGTCACATGAGAACAGGTGTGAAGTCACATGAGGACAGGTGTGACGTCACATGAGAACAGGTGTGACGCCACATGAGAACAGGTGTGAACTGAGAGTCTGGTATAAAAACCTTGTTTGAAGACTTTCTTTATTTCCTGAATTTCTGCGTAGGATCTGGTGGCCAGAACCTCGACCAGGACGTCCTCGTCTGTCCCCAGACCCTGTGGCAACAGACGGGGAGACGACATTTATCAGCAACGCACGGCAACGTTGATCCTAAAGCACAGGGGGGTCCAAAGTGAGGAACGCGGGCCACATGTGGCCCCTGGGCTGAGTCTGTGTGGCCCCCTGACAACAATTCAGAAATGAAACAAGATCGTCCTGCCAGCGCATGATGGTTGATACAGATGGAGAATTTTTGTTTCAAATACATTTAAAAAATTACTTGTTATAAGTGAAATGATCTGCCAATAGGACTAAAACTGTTTCATCAATACTAAGGAATTATTTTCTTTAAAACAAGATCCTGCTTTGCTGAGAAGTTCTCAAATATCTTAGTTAAAGTGAACTACGATATTTGCATGAGAATCTAGACCAAAGTTACTTGGTAAGGTTTTATATTTTTGCAGCATAAACAGGACAAAAAAGAGACAAAACCATAATTTAAACTAAATTCCCTCCAAAAGGTAAAAGGCACCAAATGTTGGACCAAAAGTAAAGACAAAATATCCTGAGAACTTCTTCTACATAATCCCTACTTCTAGATAATCTATGTGAATTCATTTTAAATATTAATATTTAATACAAAGGTGCATCTTTTTATGTTAATAATTTTGGATAGTGACATTTTAAACTCGTTTTATTCGCACTGCAGATACAAATGATTGAGCATTTTTCATCTTGCTGACAGTTAGGATTGTAAATCTGAGCCGGTTTACCTTGGTGGCTCTCCTGAGCAGGAAGGCATCGAAATGAGCTGGAGGCATCAGCAGAGCCAGAACCACGTCCTCCAAATCGGACCTGAGGACCGGCTTCAGGGATCCAACCAGATTCTGGAAAAAATGACAAAAAACATTTGTTTCCACTATAGAAAATGAAGCTAAACAAAAATATTAGATATTCCACCAAATCTACAGAAATTAAAATGCCTCTATTTATTAATGTATTTATGTAATATGTTATTGTGAGACATTGTTAATAAACCTGTAGTAGCTCTAATTACATAACATTGCATTTTATTGTAGTATTCAATTATATAAAATAAGAAAGATCAAAAATCTTGCTGAACTTTATTATTGTTCAATTAAACCCATATTTAATTAAATTTAATTTGTACTATATTTATAATTAAAAAAAAAAAGTCTTTGCAGCCATTTTAAGTTATTTAAAACTGTAATCTTCTCCGCTCTGTCCGCCAATTTTACAAAATCTCCTCATTGTCCCGCCAGGAATCTTGAGAAAGAGTACACCAGTATTTCCTTTAAATCCGGGGAAAAGAAGGACGCTTTCACGGCTGCTGAGGAAGGATCTGTGATGATCCATCTTTGTGCAGCAACAACTTACTTTTCCAGAGGACGATTCGTAAACGGCTTTAATTTTCTGCCTCTGCTCGTTGTTCCTCTTCACCAGAATGGCAACGATCACATCCACATCCACCTCTAGACAGAAAAAAATACAACTATTGCTAAAAATGGTCATTTCTCCAAAGCTAAAGCCTCAATGAAAACCAAAAATGACCTGAAATGGTAAAGTTTTTCAGTCATTTATCAAAATTAAAACATGCATTTGACAGAAACAAGAACATTTCTGGTCACACACTTTTACTTTGGATGGCGCTCTGAAGGGTCGATGCATCACTGCTGGCACTGAAGTTTGGATACGGAGTCACCGTCCCGTAGAACTTTGGTTTGGCTTCCTCCTTCACCTTCATAACCAACCAAACTCAGATTATTACCAAAACAATAAATACTGCTGAAAACATAAGAAGGCTCCAGGAAATGATAACGGACATGTTTGATTCACAGCAGGGGTCCCCAAAGTGGATCCTCGAGGGCCGGCATTCTGCAGGTTTTAGTTCTCCCCCTAGTGGTACAAACAACCTTCTCAGCATGTCAGTGTTTTTCTCAGGCCTTCTGATGAGCCACAATTTGATCCAGGCGTTTTAAACCAGGGAGAAAAGTAAAACATGCAGGATGCTGGTCCTCGAGAACTTCTTGAGGATCCACTTTTGGGATCCATTTTGGGGATCCACTTTGGGGACCCACTTTAGGAACCCACTTTGGGGACCCACTGTGGGGACCCTGGGTTTACAGAAATCAGTCCAAAGATGAATCTCAGCAAAGATTCTCACTGATTTGTTACAATAATTCAGTTCAAAAAGTGAATTGCATGTGAAGTTATTCTGTTTTCAGCTGTTTTCTGTGTTAAGTTTTTTCTTCCACTAAACTTTCCATACTTGCATAAAACACACTAAGCTACCTGCTTTTTTTGTAAAATACATTTTATAGTTAAAAATATTTAACATTAGTATCAAAGTAGACATTTGGACTGGTCTTTTGTAATATTTAAATTTTATGAGAAGCTATTTGTGGTTTTTATAACTTGATTATCAAAACTGATCCATTTTGAGTACTGAATGTAAATGTTTCACTTTTTGAACTGAATTATTAAAACTATTCTAAATGTATTAACCTGCACCTGTATGCTCACCTTGACAGTTTCATCCTTTGGGTCTCTGTCGTGGATGATGCCTTTGAAGAACTTCTTGAAAAGAGACATTTTAACTCAACTTTCAATGGTCAAAACTGCAGGGGACAAAAAAATTGGAGACATGTAAGTAATTTAGTCGTCAAAAGAGAAACAGAGAATAATCTCAGCTGACAAACAAGGAAGAACAGAAGAAACAAAGAGGCGTTGATGTGTAATTAGATCACCTGTGTCCAGGTGAGAAACAAAGACAGGAAGCTCAGCGAACAAAGTGCAAAAAACACAAAACAATAATTTAGAAAACTTACAGATTTAAACATTTAGGATCTTACCAGAGTCACAAAGCTTGTCCAGACAATCAGAGCTACGTTGCAGTGAATTCAGATCACACCCATCTCCACCCTAGTTTTACCTGAACACCATCAGCCAATCACCTGTCAGCTTTCCTACCACGACTCTTACAGGTGTGACAGCACTTCTGTTCAGTCTTAAGCTTTTTACCCCTTCAACTCAAACTGATTTTGGTTCTTGGAAATGATTCAAGAATCAGCTAAAAGCCGACACACCTAGTAAAAGAAACTGGAATCCATGAACACACCCAGTGTTGTTGTCTGTTGAACAACGGCTGAACCAGACGGTCCACATTCTTCTGTTCACAGAACTGGACTGAAGCTACTAGCAGTTGTGCTCACATGTGCTATTTGCATAGCTAATGTTTCATGTAAATGAAAAAAAAAAAACTTTTTATTAAACTTTCATAGATGAGTTTAGGAACCGAAAGACAAAAACAGTATGATCAACCAGCTTCTCCATATGGAATGCCTGAAATGTCAAAAATAGGACATGTACACCAAAAATTAAACATTTTTTTGAATATAAAGTCCATTGAATCAACACTACACTTGATACATTGGAGTCTTTATTTGTGAAGATGTTGCTGTACGGTTTGAAAGATTAAACAATCAAAAAACACAAAATGCACAGTGAAAAAAAGTATTAATCATGTCAATGTTTTTTTCCAGTCAGAAATCAAAACGGGGATGTTGACAGAAAATTCCCACCAGATGTTGGTAACAACCCAAATAATCCACTCACACAAAGAAATCTAAGCAAATGTACTGATAAAGTAAAATGTATGTGCAGTTAATTTTACAGTGTATAAAATATTAAAAGCACTGCAAAAAGAAACAATCAGATTTAGCACCTGCTTTTTATTTATATCTATATATATTTTCTCTTTGTTTAAATCAAATCAATATCCGCCATGAATGTGTGGGTTACTTGCATTGAAGTCCATGTCTGCTGTGTTTCATGTCAATGGCCCAATTAGAAACATATTTGTAAAAAAAACAGACATGTTTAATTTACCTAATTTCTTGACTGTAGTTTACATCTTCAGACATCAAATGTATAAAGATCACAAATTAGAAAAGGCACAAGACAATTTACTTTCTATGTTAATCATCATCATTTAAGGACAAATGAATGTTTGTTTCAATTATAGTGCAATATTTATTTTCTTTATATTCATTACAGTGATGGATGTTGCATATTTACACTCAAATTTTAACAATAAATTAGTTTATTATGATGTACTTTGTCTAATTTGTTCTCTTTTTCTGGTTTTCTCACAATATTAACTGGGAGGGGCTCCTCTCCCGCGGCCACGGCCCCGTCCAGCACCCGGACCCGGCCCGGGTCCTCTCGGTCCTGGTGGCCGGTCTACCGGCCCTCGAACGTTTGGGTTGGAAGAAGCCAGAGCCACGTCCTTCTGTAAGTTTACTCCTTTCCCAGCAGAACCAGGTTTGGTTTTGGTGGGTTTCGCCTCCGGTTCCGGTGGTTTTTCTGCAAAGGAAAACTTGGCTTTACGACCTTAATGGGTTCCCAGTCAATACCAATCAGATGAAAATTGGGTGAAACGTAACACTTTAGAATCAGGAATAAAAATTAGCTACTGAAGTATTAGCCATAGCTTATATTTTGGTAGCTAGCTCAAATATGCTTGCATAATAATTAGGTAACATTTTGAAGTTCTATTCAAATTGTTAAATTAGCATAAAATAAAGACATTATTTTTACCAAGTCAGTAAAAATCAAATGCAACCTGCTTATGAACCATTAGCCAAGTAGCTACATAGTGACCTACACTGCAAGAAGCTAGCAAAAACAGAAGAAAATTGAAAATATTTTACAACTGTAGCTTTATTGTAATTACTAAACAGTGATTCAATCTTAGCACAACTTTGACCACCTGTTAGTTATAAATACCTGTAAAGTTTTATTGACTAGCTCATTAATAAGATAATAGTTCAATAAGAATGACAAACAAATCAAGGACTATTTGCAAAGAGCCATTAGCTAACTCATATCTTATGAGTTATCTTTAGCTCATCCTCATGTAGCTACTTAGCTAGCTAAATAGGGAAATGAGCAAGGTAAATATGTATTAAATGATTAGCCATTAGCTAACGTTCATATTATGTTTTATAACACCTAGCATAAAACTAGTTGCTCTGCTTATTCATATGCAACTGAGCGTTACCTGCCAATTATTAACTATTTAAATTATTAGCTAGAGATGATTATTTATGATTAAAGCAGGTGTTTATGTTTAGCTAATGCTTAGCTGCTAACATTCCCTGTTATTAACGGTGACTGTGGTTCTGGTATGACTGACCAGGCTCCGGCGGCCGACTGAGGGATCGGTTGGGCAGCAGGTCCTCCAGGTCTTTCAGGACCTGGTTGGTGCTGTCTTTGTTATTTCTCCGGTTCTTCTCTTCATCACGGGCCTGGATGGACACAAAGAGATGGAGGGAAATATGAAAAATTAAACGATTGGACAATAATGGAAAGGCAAGCTCAGAGGTAAAAACTTTTCCTTAATAACTGGACAGCCATTAAATGATTCCTGTTTGGATGAAAATAAATCATTATCATTAAAGCCATTTCTCTACTCACCATCTGCATCTTCTTCTTCAGCTCCATGTTTGAGTTTTGGTAAGCTTTGGAGACTGAGTTCAGATAATAGATGGCCAGCCTGCAAGAGATCAACTGGATTAAAGATCAGTTTCTTTAGTAAGTTAGTAAGAGGACCATATAAAAGGCTATGGCGAGCCGGATGTGGCCCAGGGCCTCCAGTTTGACACCCTGACTTACACCATGAGCAGCACAGCCGGGATGATGAGTCCGGGATTTGCTGCGTAGCTGAACAGAGTTCCCATGAAGGCTGGCAGATCCAGCCTGATCGTCTCCATGATCACATCGAACATCTTCGCCCTCCCGCTGCAGAGACACACAGACAACTAAGTACTAGTTACATTTACCAATTAGCTTTTAGGGGAAAAGTACTTGTAGAACTAGTTTTACTACACTGTACTACAATCCAATAATTATACTGACAATAAAGTCCCCATGAAGAAAGTCGACTTCAGTATATTTTTCTCATGTAAAACTCAGGCAAGAGTCGGGTTCTTACTATTTACATTTACTCAATTGCATTTGCTTGAGTAACGTTTTTAATAACTATACTTAACTACGCTTTTCTTTGAGTTATTTTATTATGAAGTATTTCTACTCTCACCTGAATTAAACTTCTGGATTTTCTACCCACTGAATGGAAACAAACATATTTTAACCAAAAATCCACCAGAAAACTTTTCATTTGTCAAAATATAAAGTTAAGTGAAAATATTGGTAAAAATAAAATCAGGCGAAATAAATATTTCCCAAATGAGTTTCTGTTAATAAAAAAAAACTTATGAAACTTTAACAAAAACAGGGAACAGTTCGAACATGTTTGTTTTTTATTCAGTGGGTAGAAAATCCAGAAATGTTGCCCAAGTAAGAGTAGAAATACTTCATGATAAAATTAGTCAAGTAAAAGTAGTAAAATTACTCCAAAAAGTACAATTTTCAAAAAACATTTACTCAAGTTAATGTTAATACAGAATTCTGGTTATATAAATTTTTGTCATTAAAATGCCAGAATTTTGAGTTTCAAAATTCAAAATGTTCAACTGTTCAAATTCATAAAATTTCCAAAAGTTGAACATTTTAGACTGAATTAATCTCAGAATTTCATTTTTTAAGGCAGATTTCTTATTTTTCAAGTTCAAAAATTTCCCTAAAGTTTTTTTCTGAAACTCTGAAAATCTCAAAATTTCTCAAAATTTTTTGAGCAGATTTTTGACTTTTCAAACTCAGAAATTTCAGGGTTACTTTTAATCTTTTTTTGTTGTTTTATAATTTTTTATATTCATTTTTTATTATTTTTGGTTCTCTGCCCTCATCTGCACATAAAGTCTGGTTTGTTTTGTTTGGCACCTGAAGGGGCCGCAGTCGAACGACGGCGGCAGCGTCATGATGGTGTAAACGACAGGCAGCAAGCTCAGGAAGAGGATGAGGAGCAGGAGCCCCATGTAGAAGTTATTGGACTTGGAGGCCTTGAAGACTCTCTCATGGGGGACGTTGGTGGCCATGACGGCCCAGCACTGGTAGTACATGGAGCTGAGGAGGCGGAGCACGTTGATGCCCACGAGCCCTGGGGCGTAAAATGCTCCCATCCTGTCAGAGAAAAACGCAAATGTGACTTTAAACTCAAGATTAAAGTCAGAATTCTGCCAAAAATGATGCAAACTCGCTCATGATTAACGGTTGCAGATATTTTAGGTTTTTTTTGGAGCATCTTCCAGCATCTTGCGGCAACCAAATAGTATCATTTGACTTGTAGCAAAATCAAGTAACTATGTTCCCTTCAGTTGTGAGTAAAATGCAATATGCATCAAATATGACTGAAAAGAAACTATTTGTAATTTAAATGCCTTGAAATTGGATCTGTCTCTTTATGAAGCTCCACCTTTAGGAAGCTGTCCCAAAATGGCTTTTTTAACCGTTTAAAGGCATTTTTACCAGATAAGCTGCTCCTATATGGAGCTCAGTAGCTGTTTGCTAATTTCTGCTGGCTAGTCTGAAGGAGCTGAGTGGGGGAGGGGCTATGCCTGGTAGGCGGGGCTTGGTCCATCCTGGCATTTGCCCAGCAGAATGGTTGTTATGGAGATTAAAGGATTTCTCAAACATAAAAGAATCAAAGCAACATTCAGGTTTTGTTTTTGATGTGCTAATAACATCATGACATGATGTAAAGCTAAAATAAGTTGATTTTTCATGATACTGCCTCTTTAATGACTTCACCATAATGAAGCAGCACCAAGAAACAGAAACATGGAGAGGACGACGTCTTTAGTTTTTACCAGATCATCCCCTGGTTGAAGACCAGTCCAAGAACATTTCCACTGATGTCAAACTCTCCGTAAGACGGCTGAAAGTGATCAGACAACAGTTACCACCAAGATACAGAAATGGTTCCACCCAACATATTTCCAGGTGCCTTAAAACATATTTAAGAGAATTATTTGGGCATGAAATTTAAGTGAGACTATAATATATTTCTCATACCATCTGGTGTTTGTTTTAAAATTCAGAAATTAAAAAAAGTTCTGATCATCTTCTGCAATATATATATATATATATATATATATATATATATATATATATATATATATTAAGCAGATT